CAGGATCCTATTGGTATTTTTCAACTTTTACCTTATGATTTGCGTTTAAAAATTATATCGTCTTTAGGAAAAAGGATCCTTTATTCGAAAATTGAAGACTTCAAATATCAGTTGGAGGAAGATCCAGAAGTTATGGATTTAAATATACCGACAAATATTTCAGAAATGATTCGACAAGAGGATGCAGATTGTAACATTTTTGCAACAGTTGTTGACACGACAAAGTCAAGTGGATTTTTTACCTGTCAAATACTTTGTCCATCAAAGGCTGATCCTAGAATTGTAATTCATTGTACTCAAAAAAGGTTTAAAAAGCGTCAATGCAAATTAAAAATACGATGGATGGTTATTGGTTATGATATAAATTTCAATTATAAATTTTTAGATCATAACTATCAATTAGATGTTCGGAAGTCTGATGTTAGCGTTAATGCGTCAACCAAGTTTTATAATAAATCGTTGGATATTATGCCTGTCACAACGAAGAGAAACCTATTCGTTGGAATTCCTACATTAAGTACACTGGATTCTTCAAATAAACGTCTCATCATAGGACACCATTTTGTAAATACTCAAGGGAATAAAACCCAAGCATATGTATTTTCTTATTGCTCAGAGAAAAATAGTTATGACAATTTGCCTAGCTTTACTTTTTATACACTTGTTATTTCAAATTATAACAACCCAAAAACTTATGGTACACTACAATTTAAAAATTCCTACCTTTTCAAAAAACCATATATCGAATTTTGCAAAGATTCTTTAAAGCCAAAATATGTTAGCTTATGTTCCATGGAAGAGAATAAAAATGGTCCAATTTTTTTGAAACAAACCATTTATAAAATTAGAATTAAAGACATTAATTGTAAGAGTAAAGATTGTATAATTTGTATAAACAAACCATTAAAGATTTCAAAAGAAGATTTTTCATGTTATTTCTTTGATCCACACGAAAGGTATTGTTATTGTAGTTTTTTTTTTGTTGTTGTTGTTGTTTTATAACTTTACAAATTGCAAACTAATTGAATGAATTTAATTTGATTTCGATTAGCAACGAGGTTAATAATTGATATTTTGCGTTAATTTAAATCTATAGATTAAATTTAAATTAGATGATGTATTTATTATTGTAAATGTATTGTATGTGGTAAATATATGTATTAAAAAAGCTTGTATTATAGAAGAATTTAAAATTTTTTCATTGGTATTTAGGTATTCAGTCGTCCTATGTATATTTAATCATTTCCAAATTTTATTTATTTATTATTCTTTATTTATTTTTTTCCTTATCATTCAATAAATATATATATATATTTTTTATCATGAATATATTCTATATACTACACAAAAGTTAGATATTATTGTTAGTGTAAATTTTTTGTTTATGAACCCATTCCATCACGAAACGTTAAAATATGAAATGTCGAATATTTCAGAGAGTGGTAACGATACATACAACCGATTCCTACCGGCAACGCTCTTAAGTATATGTCGATGAGTTCATTCCATTTGCACTTTTTTTCTAACAAACTCTGCTTTCTTAGATTCCTCTGGTATCGTATTATCTGTTATTATCATCTTCAACACTTGCCCCACGCCAATTGACTGAATACAATATCATTAATCTATATCAAAAATTTCATTAATATCTTTGCCATTCTTCTTTTTTGCTCGAATAAAAATATGTTTGAAGTCACACCTATAAAGTATATTCTTAATATAAAAAATATTGTGCAGAAGTTACCTACATCACTTCCAAATGAACACCTGTATATTTTTAGTAAAACTTTATACACGTGATTATAATATATTTTTTTTTCCATTTTTTTTTTTTTTGTCATATCCCCTCCCCTCCCTTTGTTTGATGACACTACGAGCTTTCGGCGGTCGGCATCCCCCAGCTCTGACAGCCATCCTTCTGAAGCTGGACTGCGATGGAGTAAATATGCCGTTTCTAGATTCTTGGCTATCTTAAGGATCCTACATTCATGTATAACCATGGCAGAAGATAACACTATAACAGGGCGCGTGACTATAATATCTGTTTCTTTATAATTTTTTTTATTAAATAAAATTTTAGATTATCACCACATATCATCCATATGTTCAGAAAATTTGAATGGAAACTATATTTGAAGTCGATCTAAAATATAAACGTTTGGTGCAACCACAATATACAGTATTCTATTTTCATTAATTCTTATTACGAACTGATGAATTTCTTGAATAATATCAACGTAGTCAAAAAATAAATAGTTTTACAAAGATTATCTATATGCCAAACTACTTCAACTTTATGACTCTATATAATTAATATACTTATTATTTTCATTATATTTTAATGCGAATAAAATTGATTAATAGAAAATAAATTATAATCACCGCAACATCTCATGATTTCAATACACGCATATTCAAATGAAAAGGTAAACGTACCAAAACTGCTGCAAAATTTGGCACGTTTTCGATTTGAAACTTTTTTTTTACGTAGGATTAGGCCGATATTTATTAATTCAACAAAATCTTGTTTCAACCATTATGACATTAAAGAAACCTTTCAGTTACAAATCTTAAAAAAACTTGCCTATATTGATAAATTATGCTTTGTGTGATTTTTAAATCTATTATTAATATTATTAATAGCTTATCTTTCTTACATCGATCGCAACTTAATCAAATACCATATAATGACAATAATTTTGAAGGGTAACAAATAATAATATAAACCAAATAAATGATTTCAGATAATAATTAAAAAAATAAGAATGTCTATTTTTTTGCGATTTCAGTTTAGATATAAATAAATAAATATGTGTATGTGAAAAGCGAAGCTATCTGGACAGAAGAAAAATGGAAGAACTTTAGGGAATATAGAAAGAGACTTTTTACCCAGGCTCTTTGTTGGTCAGAGCACTATATACCGGAACAAAGAAACCGGTGATAAAACGGCGGTGTATATAAGGAAGAAAAACAAATTAAGGCACCGAAAGAATACCTTCAGAATATATAATATATAAAAGGGAGAGGCGAAAGAATAATTTATAAAGATTATTCATTTGATGTTTTTTTCATCAAAAATAAATTTAAATTATCACTTTTATTATCTTCCTCCAGTTTATCTCGTTCTATATGGTACCTCCGTTGGTATTTCGTTTTTTCTTCCTCCGGTAATGTTCTCCATGCTTCAGACATTTCTTTAGAAAATTCAGACATTTTTATTTTTTTATGCCTGTTATCCTTCATCATTTCTTTTCGAAACAAGATGAACATGTTCGGCGTACGCTTTTTAGTTTTCTTGGGAACTTCGAAATTACATTCTACAAATTTATATTCCATTTTTTTTAAAAAAAATAACGAGATTTAGAGCTTTTTTTTTGAAGTAATGTTGCGAAGAAGTGTGAAATTATTTTAAGGAAGGCAAATAAATTTTATGAGGGAGGATGGCAGACATTTTTCCCTTTAAGCTTATTTATACCTTTACGATATTTTGCGGATTTTAAATCCGTACAATTATTTAGCTTGATTGTAAATATTACGTTGGTTATGCGTCTTGATCATGTTATTTTGATTTGATATAAACATATTTAAGGAGTCCCGTTGAGTGCGTGTCTATTACAAGAATATTTTCGGAAACTAAAATACGGAGACTCATTTGTATTATCGAATGGATAAAAATAAATGATTTTTTTTATACATTATTCAATTCAAACTTGTAATATTATCAAAAAAAAAAAAAATTTCATATGTATGAGCTTTTTTTTAATCAAAAGATTTATTTTGTCCGAGCATGCTTCATTGCTTTTGAAAAGACCTAAAATATGATTTTGATGGAATTTTTCCATATAAAAATTTTAATATATTGTTAAATTAAAGGGTCGAAATAACGAAGATAACGAAAAATTCATTATGCATCTATATCTTAAATATAGTTATGCTTATAACTTTAAAGTGTTGATGTCATCTGAAAAGTAATTTTCCGTGATTGCTGATCTAAACATTTTTGTTCACACCCGTTTTAGGCTTTATGAATCGATGTTACAGACCAATAATTCGTCGTTCTTTATGAATTGAAAAAAAAATCAATAATAAATAAATTTGTTGAGTCCCGTATGACTTGGTATAAACTGTAGTACACGCAATATTTGTTTATGTTGTAATTTTTTGTTATTTCTTTAAAAACATCAAATGTTGTGATTGTTTATATATTTATATTTTTTAAAAAAACAAATATAATCATATGTTATTTTAAATTTTTTTTTTTCATTTATAAATCGTCGGTCCGTAATTCCGATTTTGAAAGCCTAACCTTAATTGTAATTCTATACAGATACAAATCCAGACCTAAGTGTAACTGCCCCTAGTTTATAAACTTTCGCATATCGATCACGATTCTTTCGGAAAATTTATGATTTGTTACTTCAGATGACGTGTAAACTTTGCATCCAACAGGAATTGGTTTTATAGAGGTACAAAATTCGTTTTTTTTTTTTTTGTTGTGTACAATGAATTTTTTTAGACTCCAATTTTTTTTACATAGTAATTACGACCAAACATATGTAATCTTACATCAATGAATGAATAAAATTATTATACATTTATTTAAAAATATTACGTAGCACAAGCTCACTTTTCAAACTTTGTTAAGAAAGGATACTGTGAAACAAAAAAATCACTCAAAATCAATTGCTATCAAAGGAAAAGGACTTCTATAAAATCGTTCTTTGTCAGTCATAAACTTAATTTGTTCTGTATTGTTCAATTTCCTATGTATCACTTCCGATATAAGCGAACAAAAGGTGAATTTTATTATTATCATGAGTTTTTTCATCATCTTTTTTTTCTTTGTACGAACCATATCCGGTTAAAAGTAAATATCAATCTTGGATTATTTATTATTCTTTCGACAGGAAACTTTAAGGCCGAAAATTTAAAACCTGTTTAAACTGCGAATAAATAAATCAATGGCGACAATAATCTACTGAATTTTTAATTCATAAAGATAAAGCAACCCCTTGTGAAACAGTGAAATTATTTTTTTTTAAGAAAAAATACAATGGAATGGGTATACGCCAAAAAAAAAAAATTTCTTTTACTCAATATACTCAACAAAAATAGTCAGATCTCACTCATGCTAAGTAAAAGAATTAATTTTTTTTGTTTTGATAAAATTTTTATGTAAAACGTTCAACTACATTTTTTTTACGCTTTTACATCTAACGTTTCTTTAAATATAAAGAATAAATATTCCATTTAATCCTTGCAAATCAAAAGGATTTTTAATAAGGAGGGAGGTAAGGTAAAAATTTTTAGAAATAGAAATTATTCAATCAGACGTTCTCACACGCTTAAAAACCGCTTCGAGACGCGTTGGGATGTTTCAAGTAGCTGGAACGGATTCTTTAGCTATGACAAATGGCTGATTGATAGGAATCATCGCAAACACAAACATTTCATTTTAATATTTATAAATCTAATTCATTATATTTTTAATTTTTAATTTAATTTGTAATAACAAAACAGTGATACGCATTTATATAAAATTTTGATTGGAGGCTTCCAATCTGGTTTTATTAGCTTCCAACCCTTTCAATGGTGCTTCCAATATTGCTTCCAATTTTCCAATTGCACATAACTGGGTATAAGTACAAACAAGATTTGTTTTACATCAAAATATTAAAGCATAAAATAAACGGTGTTTTTTATATGGTCATTAAGGATTTCATCTAAATGTTACGGGTATTATAGTATGGTTTTGAATGTATGTATAGTATAGTTCTTTTTTTTTTTTAGTATGTATGATATGTATATCCTAAAAACCATACATGTATGGTTTTTCATAAGAAATATTCTATACTAATGGTTTCTAATGGTTTCTAATACTATACGTGTATACAATAAAAAACCATACTATACAGGTTTACTATATATCCAAATGTTACACGTTAATTTTGATGGTCAAAATCACGTGGGGTTAAATTTTTTGTTGGACGATCACGTATTATTAAAAATGGAGCCAATTACAATCCGTAAATTTTTTTTTTCAAATATCAATTTGGTAGAATAAAGAAGTCTTACGCGTTTTTTTTAACACTTCTACAATAAAAAAAATGATAACCGGTTAATTACCGAATCTTTAGGTATTTTTTAGGAAGTGTGATTTTTTTGAAGTATTTGTTTTTAAAATGCATTTTCGTGGCAATCCAATAAAACACGAAATTTTCAAATTTTCAATATCAACATTAATGATTAATAAAATGGTATAACCAAACTCATAGCAATACAATATTACGCCCACTTTTCGAAAATACTTGAATATTACATGTAAAATTATCCAAGTCTTTGAATCCCGTTTGTTGAACCTAGCTTGAATTGCTATTGTTCTAATATCTGCATGCTTTCATTTTAATTAAAAGCTGTCTATTAGTAGTGGATAGAAAATACTTATTGGCAAACTTTTTTCGTTTATAAATTCTCTATCATCAACACTCCTATTTAAATAGGAATAGAATTAAATTTTAAATATCATTACAATAAAATAATTAATTTAAAAAATAAATAAATAAAATATACCTTTGTTGAGGCGCTTTGAATTTTGTAACCAGGGTGTCAACGTCTTTATTGAAATCCTGCTTAATCATATATATTTAACATCATAGTATTTGGATATTAATTAAAAATACTAAATTCAGGCCATAAACGTGCAGATCCATATTTTACCGAAATCATTTCACCGACATTAATTTTTAATGATGATCATACTAAAAAAAAACCAGTTTTAGTATTAATTTACAATATAAAATATTTTTCATAAAAATAAACTGTCAGTGAAATGATCATGTCGTAACTGGGCTAAATGATCCTGTCGGTGAATGTCTGTCGGATAAATGAAATGAATGCGTTCCAGTTATTGTTTTTATTAACGCATAATAAAAAAATAAAAATAAAAAAAAATTGTATCTTGTCAACGGTTTGTAATGCAGATGTTGATGCTACAAGAACCAAAAATAATGTCTCCGTACGAGAATATTGATATTGATGTTGATTTGCCATTTGTATAATATGCGAATATTTGATAGCCATACGCATATTCAAATGTATTATGCATATTGGTAAATAAATCTGATAAATTACAAAATCAAATAAATACTAGTAATAAATAAATATATATTTAAGAATCGATAGAATTATTTTTAATATTTAATTGTGATGATTCTGCCGTTGCATAATGCTGCAACATTCGCTTCTTTTGACGAAATTTGATCAGGTTTTTGGGTAAAAATTTTTTTTTTGGTGATTCTACAAGTTTTAGTAAATCATCTGAATATTTATTGCCGTCTAATAAATTTCCGTGACATTGTTATTTTTTTTTTATATTTTGAAATAAAATAAATTTTATTAAAAACAAATATTTATATATATAATTACTGTATATTACTAATAATCAACGCATATTTGGCATTAGAAAAGTGATCAACAAACTGCGCAAGGTCTTTTATGTATTAACTGTTAACATTAAGTTGGTGGCGCGTTGGTGGCGCGACGCGCCACATCAATTTAATAAGGAAGAATTAAAGATGATCAAATTACTAAATGACGCTAATAAATTACTTTTCAGAAAACTAATAAAAAATTCATGTAAAAACAAATGTAAAATTTAAAGTTTATTTCGTTATAAAACGTTGATAAGATCCGAATTTTTCTTTTCAAAGCATCAGGGAAATTTCGCTTAGTATCATTTGAACCATCTATCTATTTTGCGTCTGCTTGACAATCTCTATCTGAAAAAAACAATGGATCCGATAAGTTATTTGTTTGTATTGTTTAATCTTCAAAAAGGGGTGTTACCAACCTTATTGAATGTCATCTCCTCATGAAGAAAAAAAGAGAAAGGATATTAAGCTAATTACATTATTAGAAAATACAATGAATACAAATATCGGAATACAAAGGAAAATAAAATTTAATTGTACCAACTTATCAGGATTATTTTCGTCTGATTGATGATAATCCAATCAGGCGTGTCGAGATTAACAAGTTTCACTTTCAGCGATTCCAAACTAAAATGTTCCATAGTTAAAGCTCGCTACGCCCCTGTTTCTTATGATGCAAAGACATTTTGTGTATTTACAATCGATTTTAATTGATTTATTGAATCAGGTGACAATAGAAAATGGGCGATCAAAGTCGAAAATCAATTAATGATGATGGACGTTAACAACTCCTTGAATATGTGCATTATTTCGTAGCGTTGCATTTATTATCGTATCAATATTTTAAAAATAAATTTTAATTAAAATCAAATGAGTTTATTTTTTGTATTAACAGCCTTATAATAACAAAATCCATTTTGTACTACAAGCAAAAATAACAAACGGGTAGCATTAAGTTACTATATATCTGAATAAAAAATTTCAAATAATGATCAAACTCACTAAATCGCACCAGATGTGTTTGTAAGAATGGTGTAAACGGTAGGTTATTTTTATTATTCAATTGAACACACTTATATTATTATGTTATTCAATATACATGGCAAAGCAATGCTTCCCCATCGATTCATAAGAATATGACGTTGGTAGATGCAGTTGTATGAGCATTGCTTTTTGACCTTATGAAAAAAAGAAGTCATATACTTACAGCCAACCCAACGTCAAGTAATTAAACATCGTATTCTTATGTATTGGTGGGTACGAGTTACTCTGCATGAGTATCTAATAAAGTAATGATAAGCGTGTTCAATTGACTAAAAAATAAATAAGTTATCGTTAATCATCTGGATTGAAGCAATAATCACAGTATTCTATCATACATACTTTTTACATTCGGTAATGAATATCGGAATTATTATTATGGTCTGCGCGATTAAATAGATTTATTATTGTTTTGAAATTTGAAATATTAGGAAAATAGAAAAATATCATTATTTAATAAAAAAAAAATAAAATAAAATAAAATAAATAAAAATAAATGTGAATAATATTGATACATACTTTTAAAGACCAGGTTATCTTTGTATCAAAATAAAAAATTGCTCACTTCGACTTTTTTAAATACTGAAGAAATTTTCCGATTTCTAACCTTTTTATTAGTTAGCAATATCACAAACATCAATTTTTTTTTTAAATACAATACTGTTATTGTTAGTAGTTTGGGAATTTTTCCAAGATAACGATATAATTGGTTTAAAAATGGAACCGAATAACCTTTTATTAAGGTTCATTGACAAAATGGTATTTCTAAAAAGAAAAAACAATAACATATTTCATGAACCTATTATTTGAGGTACATCTTTATGTGAAACTGTAATACAGCAGTTTTGTGAACGTGAAAGTTTTTATTGATGCAACAAAGATATCATTTTTGCAAAAAAAATCTAGGAAGCGTCTATTTTTTAGAAAATGAGTTTTTTTTATATTAAATAAAAAACTATTAATTTATTTATTTCTGTTGTTGTTTGAGTCCAATAATTTTCTCGGCTCTAAAGAGATCTTTAATTGTTTTAAATTATACTGTAATTTTTAATTACTCGGTATTTATTATCCTTTTCCAATGAGCATCAATAGAAAAAGGGGGAATCTAGACTCTATCTAACCTTTAAACAGTAAAGTTTCAAGTAGAGGGTTTGATAAACAAAAACCATGTATCATGTCATCATGCCATGCATGTCATGAAACATAAAAAACATTGCTTTCAATGATATCCGGATTTAGCTAAGATTATAAAATGACGGATCAGCTGGCAAAATATTCGCAGATCTACCTCCAATTAGTAGGGGTTACACGGTAGGGAATTAGAACAAAAGGGTGAGTAATCAAGAATGACTGCGCCATTAAAACAATACGAGATGATATTGTTAAAAGTTGAAACTTTGCCAAATCCAAAAAAATTTGTATACTTTATCAGAGAATTAGCTATATATAGATATATAGAATACTTTAGAAAGAACTTTGTATCTTTAAAAACCGGAAATCAGTTATCCAATTTTTTGATGGACTTACTGATAAGACATCAATAAAATGGATGTAGCTTTTGTTTATGGTGCATGACTGACTATATTTAGTTAATCATTCTCATATTCTTTTCGAACAAATTGCTTCGAATTTTTTTTTTAGATTTTCTTCTATGCTCTTTGTAATCCACTCATGATCATACATGACTTTTTTTTTTTCATACATTCAATTCATTCAATTTACCATGAATCAAGAAATAAATCTTTTTTTATTTTAACAAATAAAAAAAAAACAAATATATATATCTCAGATTAAAAAAGTTGTAAATTTTCCGATTGGATAAAAGAATTACAACATGGAAACTACTAATAAATTATTAAATTGGAGGGTCTTTTTACCAGGTAGACAATGATCATATTGTTTTCGCTGTATGACATTATTTATTATAAAAGCAGTCAAAAAATATTGCAAGAAACACACCGAAAATCTCTAAACCTTTTTGTTAAAAGGGTCGACAAGGTACAAAAATTGACGGTTATTTTAAATTTCGAAAGTTTCTTTATACATTTGTCAAACTTGTATATTAATCATATTATTTTCTATTCTTTCACCAGCGTCCTTTAAAATGTAGTCAACGAAGCGAAAACCGTAAAAAAATGTTTTGCTCCAACGAATTAAAAAAAATTTTTTTTTTTTTTCATTTTCGGTCGGTCAATATCGTTTTGACTTTCGTTATTATAAAGTTGACTACCTTTTTTTATTTTTTTTTTTTTTATAAAAAAAAAAAAATCGATTTATTTTTTCTTTCGTCGTAAATTTCTTCCGAATAATTTTTTTATCATGGCAAAATCTTTTCGTTTTTCTTTAAAATTTATATTACATAACGTATCTAAAATTTAAAACATATGATTTTAATTTTTTTTTTATTTTTCTTTGTCCTAAACATATTTTATTTTTATCTTACAGTGTTGTGATCTTACTCCATACCCCAAACAAATATATTGTAGCATCCAAAAAACAAAACTTGAAAAATGTGAAATTTAAATTTAATAAATTAAGGAATTATGATTTTTAAACTCACACTACCTTTTGGAGATGGGGGGTTTTTTTTTATTTTGAGAACGTTTGAATTATTTGCACAAATGAACTACATGTCCGCGGTAATATGAAGAAATTTCGCCCTAATAAAAGAACATTATGTAAAGAGTAAAATGTTTCGAACAATAAGAAAGAAAAAAGACTTTTTGAATACTAGAATATTAAACAGACAACATTATCAATTATACCACCATCCCTACTATACTACTTTTCGTCTTATCGTTTTAGGGTACTAATCACCTTTTTTAGTTCAAATTTTTACAATGCCTTAATTTTTTTTTTAAGAGTTCCATTCGTATTAAACTTTGTCATCAAGATATCGTTTGTCATTATCACAGTAATTTCCGACTCATATCCGATAATAATATTCGCATTTGTGGGTTAATTGATCCATTAGATCCATTAGACTTTAAAAAATTAATTTCATGTTCTATTTCAAAAATTATAACGATGTTAATAGTTAACAAAAAAAATTTTTTTTTAGCTCCGAGTTCACAAATGTCGTCTTCTCTCTTCGTTATATGCTAAATGTTGTGCATCTTGTCATTGAGGTTATCATATTTTTGACTAATAAAAAAATTATTTATACTGATTGATGACAATTCAAAGAATATTTAACGTTTTAAGATCGGATCAACCATTATGTTACACAAACTATTAGACATTACTATTTTTCTAGCATTTCGCGATTTTGTTTTGCCATGAAATTACCACTTACGTAAATCATCAATATTAATTTAATAATAAATAAATTTTTAATTTAGAAATCAATATTTCAATGTATTTATTTTCTGACTTAATTTCCTTTTTTTTTTTGCTAATTTCTTATAGATTTCAGAACGTATATCGAGAAAGTAAATCGTTTTCCTTTTTTAAGCGAAAGTTATTCGGTAGTACTTAAACTACTCGCATATTATTTAAGGTTAATTAATAAAACTTGTGAAGTTATGCACGTATTTTAACGGATTTTCCAATGACTTCGGAGGTTAATTTAGGACTTTGGTTAATGACAATCTACTCTTGGAGTCTAGGTAAACTTGCTCAGTAGGTCTGAAACTAATTTTTAACGAGGTTTGTTGCATAATCATGGAGCTGTTGCCATTTTCGTAACGATAACAACACATGAACTTCCAGTGACTTTAGAATGTAATTTAATGTCAATATCCTCTCTTAATCTAGGTAAACATGTTCTAGGTTAAGAGACTACTCGCTACTAAATTTTCATTAAGATTGGTAATAGAAAACGTCTAAAAAATTAATATTTTTCTGAATTTTTAATTTTGGTCAAGTTTGATCAAAAGAATTAACAGATCACGTGGGGTGACAATATGTGTAGGGCACCGGCAGTGATATATATATATACATTGCATCCGAAAGAACAATAAATGTTGGTTCACATTATTCATCTACTGTATATGATGAATATTTATAATTAAACCACATATGATGTCTAGCTAATTTGGTTGGAATATAGCGACCATCATTTATTGATACATAAAAAAAAATTGACATATTGTTTTAATTAGAATCAATATCGCCCAAATGGGCTTGTAATACTTTCAGTAAAGTTGGTTTCCCCTGAAAAATTGAACCTAATATTTTTAAAACCTTTTTTTGCTATTATCCTTCAATAAACAAAAAAGTGATTCGTTATTCAAAGAATTTTTGTCTTGGACAAAAATTTGATCAGAGGTGGTGCCAGTGTTAATGTCTCAAGCATTTGAGGTTGTCTCATACTATATCCAAATGTTTATTGTCCCATGCTCTCACTGGGCGGTTTATAGATTCGTTTTTTTGTCTGTTTATTAATAATACTGAGCCCTTGCAAGCATGCGAATAAGGTCCATCCCGTCGTTCACTACAGTATCTTGGCTAGATTTACAATATGGTGTTGATGATGATGGCGCTGATGATGATAATGGTGCTGCTGATGATGATAATGTTAACGACGATTTCTACTGCTATAGGGAGACGCTTGCTAATTATTGAAAACTTCGGACTGAGACTGGGGATTGAATATATGAAGTTGGCGAATCGACTGTGTGGGTTGACAATCAATGAATGAATGCCCATATTTGCGGAAACAAGTATAGATAATCAATACTTACGAATTAGGCATTTAACATCTTATCTTGAGTCATTTAGTCTACTAAATCACGATAATTATATGATTTTAAACATGATGAATAAAAAAATTACTTATTTTGAGTGGATATTAACATCACTTAACGTCCAATAATCGGCTTGCGTTTTAAGAAATGGTCCAAGAGTTTCTTGATCATTTGCACTATCTATGATAATTAACTGATCACGATAAAAGTAAAACTATGACGGGTCCCTTGCAATATCATTATAACTCTTGATCCACTAATTGCGTCATTAACAGCATCAACGCCTTTGATTGACGAATAATGGCTTTATTGTTCTGTTGCTGAATCTTCAATCAGAAATTACTTGTTGTTACAGGTTGACAGTTGCATATCTAGATGGTGTATAAGGAGTTATGGTTCACTATCATGGCGAAAATTTTCGACTTTTTCATCTCGGCTTTCTTTCCGATTTAGACTTCAAAACTAAAAAATGAATTCGGAACTTTGCGATACAAATTGTGACTCCAGCGTAATTTTTCGAATTATGGGACCCTGTAATGAGAAAGCCGGAGAAAAAGATGAATATGAAATTCTAATTAGATTAACAGATTTACGAATTATTACAAGATTCAATAGTTCTAAAAATAAATTACGTAGCGTTATTGATTAAATAATGTATTTATTTTATGACCCTAAAAATATTTTTGCAATTATTTTTATTACAGTAATTGTTTTTTTATGATATTATAGAATACCTTTACGAGTGTTATTAAGAGAGTAGAATTCTAAATCTGACCGATGAACTTACCACTAAACCTATTTTATAAAATTTAATGGCATCTTTTATCCAAAGCATCTCGTAATAAAGGTAGAAAAATACGTCAATAAATGAAAATGGTAAAAAAAAATGTTTTACAAAAATCGGAACAACTTAATTTTCGGTTTAATGTAAATATAATAATGATCGTCGAAAAAAATAATCCTGTTTTTTATTTGTTATTTTACTTTTGCTAATATGAACGTTGTATTTTCTTTCCTTTCACATTATCGTTATTTTCCTTTTTCTTTTTTTTCCTTCAATATGAATGCGCAAGAACTTTATTGACCGTTTACTTTTTAATTTTAGTAAATTCATTTTTGCATGCGATGTGTATATCACATCATACAAAAATTATATCACTCTGCAAAATGAATAATATCGTGATTTGAAATTACTCAAAAATAATGCCGGCTGGAATTATGTCAGTCACGTGATATTATTGATATTACTTAATTTACTCCAAATTTTACATGTCACGTGGAGTAGAAAATTCTGGGGCTATACGTAAGATGATATTAATTAATAATAGTCATATGACTAAATGTTCTAGAAATATTGATATAAAATTTGCACGGATTGTCAAATTTTTATCTTCCAAAAAAATGTCCACTAATTCAGAATCGATAGAATGGTTAGAAAAAAACATAAAAGAAGAACATATTATTTTTTTTAAATATACTAAATTTAAAAATAGAATAGAGATAGGTAGCGGAGGATTCAGTAAGGTTTATAGCGCGAAGTGGGAAGATGATAAATACTTTGCATTAAAATCATTTAATTTTGATACTGTTAAAGAGATTGTAGAAGAGGTGTGTTTGTATCTTATAAATGGAAATTTTTCTTTTTCTTTCTTAAAGAACGATGTACTAATGAGTTTATAGTTTAAATTACATCGAATAGTAGATTTTCATGACAATATAATACGTCTTTATGGGATCACTAAAGATTTAGGTAGATATTCAAAGTTATTTCATTTACATATATCTTATGAATGAATTCATATATATATATTTTTTTTATTCTTGTAGATGAAAAATATGTATTGGTTTTAGAATATGCAGAAGGGGGTACGCTTCATGATTATTTGAAAGAGAATTTTCATACTCTTGATTGGAAAGATAAATACAGGTTAGCGTTCCAATTATCGAGTGCAGTAAAATGTTTACACGATAAAAAAATAGTTCACAGAGATTTACATTCCAATAACATATTTATACAACAAGGTTCAATTAAATTAGCAGATTTTGGATTAAGCAAACGTATCGGAAACAGTAATACTAATAGAAGTAAATCAAAGGTACAGGGTATACTTCCATACATTGATCCAAAAAGGTTTGATCATGTATCAAATGAGAAATGTGACGTTTATAGCGTTGGTGTATTATTGTGGGAATTATCTAGTGGAAAAAAACCTTTTGATGGTTATGATAGTTTCAAATTGTTTCTGGAACTTTCTAATGGAAAAAGAGAAAATATTGTAGATGGTACACCTGAAGAATATTCCAACCTTTACATAAGTAAGTGATGATAAATCTTTAAATCATATGAAATGATTTTAATTTAATTTAATTTAATTTAATTTAGAATGTTGGCATAAAGATGTGGACGAAAGACCAACAATTCAACGAGTTGTTGAAACTTTACAATCAATGATTTCACCACCATATTCAATAATTCTTGATTCAAAAGTAAAGACGGTTAATCCTTCTACTGTTGAACCATCACAACAAACCATTTTAGATACAAATGAGATTTCACGATCAAAATTATCTCTCATTCATAATTTGGACCAATTGGATATCAACGATTTCAATGATTATTACTTAATGGAAGGAATTTTGCCAGATACAACAAATTTGAGTTCAAAAACGAGCCCGAACAATGATTTTAATGAAACTTTGATAAGTAGTTCCAAAATAAATAATATGATTGTAGAAGAATTGGTGGAGTTGTTTATCAAAACGACGAATGAAGGAAAATCTCGAGATCAACGACGTTCTATCCTCGACGCTTACTTGACAAATCATAACATCACCATCAAAGAAATTTATGGATGGCTAATTAAAAATAATAGTAAATTTTCAAATTCAAATTTTATATTTTTCGCAGGATATTTGAATTTTTCAGGGATTGGAACGACATTAGACATTAATAAGGCATCTAATTATTTTCACCATTCATCAGCGCAAAATCATTCTATCGCTCAGTATTATTTAGGAATTTTTTACGAAAAAGGTATTGGGGTTAACAAAGATGAAAATAAAGGATTTGGTTATTATGATAAAAGTGCTAAACAAGGTCAAAGTATAGCGGGTAAATTTGCATTAGGAATGTGCTATGAAAAGGGTGTTGGAATTGAAAAGAATAAAGAAATGGCTTTTTATTGGTATCAACAAGCGGCAAATGAAGGTCATGCGATTGCACGACATAATCTTGGGAACTTTTATCGTTTGGGGAATTTTGTTGAAAAAGATCATCGTGAGGCTTTTGGCTATTACAATTTAAGTGCTCAGAGTGGATACATTCTTGCCATTAGTATGTTAGGTCATTGTTATCTAGAAGGTATCGGCACTTCTGTTAATAAAAAGATGGCATTTGACCATTATTTAAAAGCCGCTAATATGGAAGACAATATTGCTCAGTATAATGTCGCTTTTTGTTTAGAATCTGGTATAGGTACGACAAAAGATTTAAAAAAAGCTATGGAATGGTATAAAAAATCCGCCAATAGTGGTTATAATATCTCTATAAAAAGGTTAGAAAACTTAATTGTTAAACAGAAGTCATGTTGTTAATGTAAAATAAAAAAAACAATAAAAATATTTAAATTCCTTGTAAAGTTAAAATAGGTGTAATAAATTATTACAAAAAAAGAATTAATAAAATTTTATTCATACGACCCTATAAATTTAAAAGATGCGCGTTTATTTTTTAAAGTATATTGATAACTCTTTTACAGAAAATTTAATATAATAACGTGCTCTATTCTAGATTCATTTTTTCGGGTTAACTCAGAATATTTGGCTAGAATTTAGGCGAATTAAAATCGACGGATCTCAAAATAAAATTTCAAATTATATGAAATAATTCATAAATCTAATAAATTTAAATTAGCCGGCAAAATTTCCCCTTGTCGGTTTCTTACATAAGGGTGTATTTCGATTTGTCCAAAAAACAAGACAAGATTTATGAATTGATTAGACCATGATTTCGGGAGAACTTTGTCGATGTTTCCAATTTTTTTCATATCGGGTTCATCACAATATATAGCATTTGGTGCCGTTGTAGTATACAATTCAACTGAAAATGTTGTTTGATTTTTATAACATGGACGTATTTCATATTCAAATTCTTGATTTACATGTACTTCTGTACCCTTTTGTACTAATCTTAAAAATCTTTTTCTCTGCTCCTCTTTGCCAGGATACGTACTAATTCCATAAGTCATGGTAATCACACGGGAATGTATTAATTTCGTGTTTGATCCATATTCAAGCGCCCCTTTTATCGTTGCAAATGGATGCCTGGGTACAGAAATATGTTTAATTGTTTGATCAAATTCCTTTTTGATACACGTTTGCAAATATTGTGATTGACTAAAACCACCTACTAAGATCATAGCAAAACAAGTGTTTATGGAATAAATTTGTTCACGAATTAATTTAATTATTTGATTTATAATCGGTTCAAACATTTTTTTAACATCTTCATATTCAAGGGTTATAACCCAATTTTTTTTCATCAATACTTCTTTATATGGTTCAGTAATATAATCTTTGATGGCAGGACAACTTTCTTCAAGATCCATCTGATAATCTATATAATCACCGCTATTGCCAGTAAATTTTAATTTACAATTTTTGCAAAATTGTTGAACCATGTATTGTAATTGTTCATAATGGTTGTTTTGAAGACTTTTCAAGGCATCTAACCCAACTTTTTTTGCAACAAATGCAAGAAATTCTTTATTCACACAAATCGATCCACAATGTTTACTTGAAGTTGATGACTTTTCTGCCAATTGGTTATTTGAAAGTTGTCTTAGGGTTAACTCAACCATACCGCCTCCACAATTAACAACCAAAAAATTTTCTGTAATAGTGACATGTTCAGTTAAATAAATACAAATTTATAAATATTAACGTACATACTAACTTTTGAGATCGTCCAATAAAAGTTCTTTTTCTAGTATTTTCTTGCAGTAAATGGCTGTTGCTTCAACTATTAACAAATGCATATATTGTAGAACATCGTTTAAATGAAATATTACCATGTTAAATAATCAGATATAACTTACTTTCTGTAATAAACTGCAATTTTTTTGAATTTAAATCTTTAATTAATTCGGCCTTATGCATGCAATCCTTCATGATTTTTTTTATTTTATATGAAGGATCCAAAGGAATAGATAACATAATTAAAACATTTCTAAAGAAATTTATTTCAGGACTATGTTTGGATATTTTGTCCTGAATTGACTAAAGCAAAATGAAACAATCAGCATTAAATACGTTTTTGAAATTTGACATTTTCAAAAGATACTTACATTTCCTACGAATATAAGGTACAAATGTCGATTTTAAAAAAAATATATCAGTAAATCTTTTAATAAATTTATAATCCTTTATATTAGAATGTTATGCGTACTTATCTGTCGTAAATAATCTACGATCGCCTTTTTATAATCAAAATCTTTTGGTAATGGTGGTTTATTTTCTTCGGATATTTCGAGCAAATGTAATTTAAAGTGTTCAATAATACTACATATATTGTGCTTTTTTACTTTTTTTGTTGGTCTTTCGGCCATTGCATTTGATCCCCATTCTTTAATTTCATTATAATTTTCATCATAAAGCAATACTGTATTTGTATCAAATGAATTTTCATTTATCATATCATAATTGTTCTTTTTACTTGCAATAGCAAATCTCTAAATCAAGTATAAATCTTAATATATAAATTATCAGCGAGTAATTAGGTTACGAAAGCAAATACTTACGGAATAAATCGTTCCGATATCTTAAAGAAACAAAATAGATGAAGTAAATTAATAATATCGGATCAATTCAAATGAAAATAAATCATTATATGGGTGGTATGCGATTAAAATTTAGGTACGAGACATAGTAAATCATATGATCTGTACCTCAATTTTAATAGCATACCACCCATATTACTTTTTTTACAAACCTATTGAGACGATCATTTGAATATCATCTATAAAAGGTCGTATAATAATATTTTGAATATTATTTTCGTCAGCTGCCTTTGATAACTTCTCATCAAAGTTCTTCTCTGATAAAATATAAGCAAGTAAATCTAAAGAATATTCCTTTTCTTCATGATCTATCTTTAAACCTTTATAATCTGAATTTATAATACAAATACATAAGTCTATCGTTATATTATTATTGTTCATAGGAACATCTTTGTCGAGAAGAGATTGTTCATCGAATTCACTATCGGAAATTATTATACTTGGATCCGAAACATTGAGCTTTGATTCATTATAAACGGATTCAACTATTTGAAATTCAATACAATTATATGACCATCCAACTAACTTTATGATATTTTTAGGCTTATAATTCGTTAATTTGTAATTCGCGTTAACAAAGATAACATATCCCTTAGATAATTGACAAGGAGATTGAATACGAAGACAAGAATTATCGTGACGTAATGTAATGGATTCTTTTTTACAATTGACTTGAAATTCTCGATTTTTGGGACTGAAAATCGATAGGCTTGAAGGATTCCCAATAATCATCCACAAGATGTAACATTCCGTTATATCAAGAATGGTCGTTTTCTCTAAAGTTGTTATCATTGCCGAAAATCCATTAACATCATATAAGCTAAATATCACAGAAAAATCTTCCGTCTTTAAATTATCTTTGGTAACGATCGATCCAAATACCTCATAATTACTACCTTCCAATGGTTGATCTAAATTTTTTAGATTTACACGTTTAAAATGTTCAAGATTATTAATATCTAAATCCTGCAAAGTGTCAATCCCGGTCATAATGATTTTAAAATTATTTTGATCATTATTCTCTAAAATCATATCGATCTTCCTTTTTTGTTTCAATTCAAGAATGTCATATAAAGAAATGATGTTACTATATTCTATAATTTCCAAATTATTGTTGTTTATATTCTGAATCCAATCCAATAATGAATCATTTACGTCAATAAATTTTCCTTTTTGCGTTAACAGGTAAGAAATATTTAAATCATCTAGAATTGGTCGTAAATTTTTTAAAATTGGCGGCGTTAAAATTTTCTTTTCGTTATTAAACGGTGTCGGTGATATTGACAAAATATTTTTAAGAGATCTCCCCAAGACAATTTTTTGTGGAAATAAATGACCATATTCGTTAAATATATCTTGTAAAGCTTTATTCGGTTTCATATCATCAAGTGCCTTGTCTATTGCTGTAATAAATTCTTCTAAAGGTTTAATGTGATCCTTATTTATAAGGATTTCATATCGTTCACATTTGACCATTAAATGGAGATTGTCTCCAAAACATAAATCATCAAAATCACCCATCTTAATAAACGGGAAGGTACTTGTTTCTTTAATTGAAAAGTTGTTGGATATTAATAATTCTTCCAATTTCGTCGACGGTTTGATTATTTCAAAATAGGATCTGTTGTTTGAACTCACTTCGGGTATTTTGACTAAATTAATTGCAATTTTTTTGCCTATTTTTATTTCACGTTTATTCATTACAAGACCGTGAAGAAGGTGAAAATCTTTTACAAATCTCGTTAGGTTGAAGTAATCCGAATCGCCGATCCAATGCGTAAAACTTAACTTTTCCTTATAATTAATCACCCCGGGTATTTTTTCATTAGAAGCTATTCCGGAATTTGTTTTGTTCCTTAATTGAGAGATCGGAATAAGATCGTTATAAGATATTATTTCAACCTTTTCTTCTCTATATAGCCTATTCATCCAACCGACCAATTTGTCGAGAGTATTTAATTTTTCCCCGTTTGATGTTTCTACCCTTGGTAAAAAATTTAAGTCTGAAATTTTTCCGAATGGATTCTCGTTATTTTTTTGATATTTTGCATTATCATATGCCCAAAATAAGTGATATTTTAAGAATTCAATGTCTTCTTTAGTGACCAACGTAGAATATGTGATAAATAATTTGCCACCAAGCAAAGTTTTTTTTGCAAAAAGGTGACCATATAAATCATGTAATTGTTCTTTGGAATCATCTACGTAATTTGAAAATGTTTCTATCAAATCACCTTTATAAGTCACTTCAGCAACTGGGTAAACTATGCACTCATTCGGTAGGTTTGGGTTTTTAAAATTTGCTTTATCATTATCGTAAAACGCTAGAAGATTTGTAGAAGATTCGGGATCATTTATGCTAGTGTATACTATAGGATGTCCTTTATATAAGTTTGCATTCAAGCTTCCATCTTCAACAATAACGGCCATTTTACTATGTGTTATGCTAGATCCGTCCAAAAACAACCCATGATTCAACCTTAACTGCCGAATGGTTTCTTGTTGTTTTGACGTTAGCACTCCAGTATCAAAATCATGAAGATTTGGGTTTAAATCACCATTAACTTCGATTTCTCTTGAAATTTCATTTTCATGTTCGTTGTTATCCAATTCTTGTTCAGGAATAAATTGATTCGGAAAATACTTGTAATGATCATGGGTGAATCTCTCATAAATGTTACCTATTTGTACACTTTCTTCTATTTGAAAATCTCGAGCTGTCTCACAAAAGCAAAATCTTATACAAAGCTTATTACTTATCTTTATAAGTTCACCTGAATAAGTTGGTATTGCATTGTTTGGAGTTGAAAATTCTATCGTGTGAAGGAATTCCTTTTCACAATATTCTGAAATTGGTTTTAAATTCTTAATTACTTTCCCTTGTAAAATATGCGAGATTACTTGTTCTTCCTTATCAAGATTTTCATGTTGGTCACATTGAAAGCTCATGCAATTTTTCAAGGAAATTTCAACTTTCCTAATAGTAATGTCTGATTCTAATAAATAAATACTCATTGGTATAGAAACAGTAGTTCCAAGTTGAAAACATTTTTGTGGTGGTAAGTGGAATGCATAAATCAACTCATTTTTTGAACCTACGATTTTATGAGGAGAAATATTTGTATAATTTAAAGTTATCGCAGTTTTAAGTGGACATTTTATTTCAACTATATCATCTTTAGAATTAAATAATCCATTCTTCCTATTTACAATAGCACGTAAATTATAATATACGGATCCAAATCTTGTCTCGATTGTTCCTGGAAGATCATCAGGCAATAATATTTTAAAAGGAACCTTTAAATTCTCAATTGAATCGTCCGCTACTGATTCCGAAATTACGTAAATCTCATCGATAAGAACACGTTCCCCTTCACAGGGTTTTATTGAATCCGACTTTATCCATAAAGTTTTTTCTAGACCTTTTAAATGCAAGCTGACCCGTTTGATTTTTTTACATTTTTGATAATTGAGATGTAAATTTCCGATCAAGTTACTTTCCGCGTCTACGCCAAGTAAACCTTGTTGAAAGGAATCATTATCTTTATCGTATGAAAATGTTAGATTTCTATTTGGGTTTAAATAATAATCTAAGGGTGGACAGTTTGTTTCTAAGTTTGTGGTCATTTTATTTAAAACTAAGAACAAAGAATTCTAATAGAATGAAAAGGGTGAAAATTTAATGAATAATCTTTAAGATCTTTCGAAATTTTTTTTTTTGAATTGCATTTTTATGCATAGTTTCATTATATTATATACCTAATCAGTACTGGATAAATCAAAATAAATTGTAAGTGTACCAGATTGGAAGTTCTTTGTCGGAGGCTAAATCATTTACCAAATCGGGCCTTATTGAATAAAAAAAAAAAAAATTCATTGTGTACGGCCTCATGAATTTGTTTCACAAAAACTTTAAAATTAAATTTATAATTAATATGAAAATGGTAAAAGAAAAAAAGGACAAGTATACGGGGAAAGAAAAAAAAAAAAAATTCACAAAATGTTTGATCTTACAAATATCTTTACCAACAATGTTGAAATAATTATTCAAATCACGAGCGAAACTCCTACGAAACTTTTTAAAACAGGCTTAAATTTAACGGATAATTTATCGATTATTCGTAAAGAACTCAAAGAAAAAGGTATCATCAATGATACATTATTCTTTTTAAAGAAAATTGCTGAATCTAATAATGATGACGATGACTTTTCTGAAATATCACTTGAAAATGAAGAAAATTCTCTTCTAAATGATGTTATAGAAGAAAATAATAAGACTTTATATTTAAAGAAAAATTCGAACCAAGACTGGAAATTTCTCAATGAACTCCATCGTTTAGAATATGGATGTACTATGACTTTTGATGGAATTAAGAAAGGTTATCGAAAAGCGTTTATAACAAAAGATTGTAAAATGACCGAAATTGGTACCGAGGGATGTCGGAAAGGAAAATTTGAATTTAATTCAAACAAAGATCGAATGATGATGAAGAATTTATTTTTTATTAGCGATACTAATGTAGAGAGTTTTATAAATTTGGGAATATCTGATGAAAATTCACGAAATAATAATAATATTGAACCTGAAATTTCTCATCTCTATGCAGAGTATGGAAAGGTGTCACTAAAATTCGGAGATTATTTAGAACCAACTACGGAATTTATTAATGCGGTAGAAGATGCCAGCAAATCTGGAGACCCAGCGAAATTTAAGAAAATTACCGAGGAATTTGGTCAATTCATTCCGACTGAAGTTACTTTAGGCGGAAGAGCTTATTTTAAAGAAAACAATAGTAAATGCGCAAGGTTAAGTGAAGCATCAAACGATTCCGGAGGTTATTGTATATACATAATTGGAGGGCAGCAACCTAATAGTCTTGAAGAATTTGACGAAAAATCTTGGGTTAAATCTTTAATAGATTACAAAAATTGGGGTTGCATAGAATTTCGAAACCCCATTAGTATCTTTCAATTATTACCTGATTATTTACGTAGAAAAATCATTTATTCCCTTGGAAAACGAATTCATTACTCAAAAGTTGAAAATTTTAATTATAGTTTAAAGGAATGCGGAAGACCTGTGGTTTTTGAATTAAATATACCATCTCATATCTCAAAGATTATTCGAAACAAAGACGCTGATTGTAATTTTTTCGCAACAGTTGCTGACGCAGAAAGATCAAAAAATGAATTCTTTCATTGTCAAATCCTTTACCCACCTAATGGAAAACCAAGCATTACAATACATTGTATTCAGAAAAATTTCAGAAAGCGATTATGTAAACTGAAAATTGGATGGATGGTCATTGGTTATAATACCGATCTAAATTTTCTTAATGATTTTAATGTTCAATTGAAAATAATTGAAACAAATTTTAGTTCGTCAAATGATCAAACTATGATTTTTGACACAGGACTAGAATATAATTCAAATAATATTCCTCTTTGCTTAGGAATCCCTGTATTAAATAAATTAGATTCTTCTAATGAATCTCTAATTATAGGTCATCACTTTTTTAATAATCAAACGAAAAAAGAAATTGGTTTGTGCACATTTTCTTATTGTTTAAAAAACAAGCGCTATGTAAATTTACCAAACTTTACTTTTTATACACTTATCATCTCAAATTATTCTAATCCCAACGCTTTCGGCACAATCCCTTTTGAACATTCCCTTTTTAAAAAGCCATATATTAATCTTTACAACCAACCTGATAATTTAAATACGAGATATATTAGCTTATATTCTACAAAAAAATCAAGCGTTCCAATTTTCATAAAACAGGACGTCAAAAAAATTTCAATTAAATATATTAATTGTAATTGTAAAACCTGTTCAGTTTGTAAAAAAGATAAAAAATTAAAAAGATCTGAAAATAGTATAGAATGTGCATTCTTTAACCCGATATATTAAGGTATTTAACTTTTTGATTCAAAAATCTTCAAATTTTCTATTTCTAACAAAATGATTTATTATAGCGAAAGTCTGACTGAGTTCGACCATTTATAATCCATGTGAACGTTTATAGGAATTTTTAAAAAAAAATTGATGTAAATTACATTAAGATTTAATTACTAAATATGTATTATAAGTATATAAAAATTCATAACAAAACAAATTTTTACGATAATTAATAATCACGTGAATTTTTCCAGGGGCATAAGGTTTTAAAGTTAATTAGGATTAATTTTTCTGATGTATGAACCTAGAATTATTAAATTACAAGTAATTTCAATATTATATAATCAAATATTTTAAAAAAAAAGTCACGGTACTATATTCAGCGAAATTCGTTCGGGTTAGACCCGAATATCTTTACAACACTCGGATCAGGTTCGAGTTTTTCTGTAACCCGACCTGACCCGACCCATTCAGATGACCATTAATACTATATTTTTTAACTATAACGGGTGGTTAACATAACTACCCCGCTATCGGCGATCACCTTGTCGATCATTTCCTAATATGGATAGCCTAATTTTAACGAAATTTTTTATTTTATTTTATTTTTTGAATATAAACTGTATGCAGCTTCTAAAATCGCATCTTACATTGTATTTATTGCCTGCTCTACAAATTTAATTAGAGTTTTAAAGAAGATTTTAAATGCCATTTTTTAGAAATTTAATTATTTACTAAATAATAAGAAAAGTCAAAAATAGCATTTAAAATCATCTTTTTTTTTCTAAATGAACTTGCAGAGCAGGACAACATACATTAAAGAAGCAATTTTGAAAGTAATATAAAATTTGTGTCAACTATATCAAAAAATCAGTTTTTCTCGATAAAGGTATATTATCCATTTAGGAAATGATCGAAAAGATGATCGCCGATAGCAGAATTTTTCGGGGTGCTCTTGGGGTAGTTGGTTAACATGTGATATTATACAATTATCTTAATATTAAAAATATATTTTATATGCATATGGGCGTTTGCTATTAATATCACATTACAAATCACAAATCATATGATTTACTAAGTTTGTACAACCATCACCAGCTCTAAAGGTCAAAAAACTTAATTTTTCTTTTCTTTATAATGATGAATTTCTGACTCCAAGATTGTCGATAATCAAGAACTACATAAATTTCAAATAATGCAACTCAATTTATCATTAAACTTGGTTAATATTTTTCCGAGCTTAAAATAGTTTCCATTTTTCCTAACTATAATAATTACCGAAAGTTTTCATTTTAGCAATTGGCTGATTGGCTGAAAAATGTTTTGGCCATGGTAATTTTATAGTGTTGACCAGAATTATTCTGCGAGTCACGTATCATAAACTTGGTAGGGTTAAATAATATATTTTCATTTAATGAATGCCCAACAAGAACAAAAAGAAACCTTTCCATTTTTTCATGCTAAACGTTACATAACAGTGTTGCTTATCAGCGGATATAATCTCTTTTAAAATTGCCGAATCTTCCGGCTAAAATTTTTAAATCTGGAAAAATTTTCGGAACGAGTAGTATACTTCCGATAATTTATGAATCCAATTTATCTAATTTAGTTAGAGATACAGTAGATAACAGTTAATTTTTTAATCATTCATTCAAGTTTAAAACCGGATTTAAATCATTTCCTATTTTAGAACGAAATGGCTGCGAGTGATTGGTAAATAGATTTTAACGTAAAATGTGCAACAACATAAACAACATACATACATACAAACCCTTAAAAGATGACCTTCCATTTATAGATAATATTTATGATACTCATTGCTTATACTTACATATATTAAAATAAAATTAACAACATTGTCGATCAACCAGAATTAGGAACTATGGTGTCACTTTCGTAAAATATTAAAATTCAATATTAATGTATAAATTGTTATTTTTAGTTCAATTTAATTTTGTTATAGTTGAATAATACATAATAAATGTGTTAAAGAATATGAAAAAATTTACATAAAGTAAAATGTAGTAATTCGTGAAATATTTCCTTGCGCTCTTTTTTTTCTTCCTTTTTTAATCCGATTCAAAATCCCTAAGATAATCCAAGACTTCATAATTTCTTAATACACCTACTTCCAAGAATTTATTCTTGACCCGTTCCAATTTTTCCGATAGCTCGTAAACATCTTCGGATATGCTTAAAGACAAAGGTAGTCTTGATCTCCACGATTCCAAGAACCATTCCAAGTAGCAAGATTGTAATCCACAATTCCCAACAATTTTAATATCACTTAAAGTACTCGGAGCAAATCTTCTAACCATATTAAATAAATCAAAGCCACTTGAATTCGCCGATAAAGAATTGAAGATAATTCCTCTTAATTTATTACATGATCTAATTAATTCTTCTAATCCAAAAGTACTATTCTCATTTCCTTCGTAAAAGAATGTTGAAACATAATTAAGGTTTGGACAATGCTTTGAGATAGTCTGATGATAGGGTTCAATGTGTTGAGTAGCATTATCCGGTATATAAGAACCAAGAAAAATATGGGTAAGGTTTCCAATGGTACTTGAAATTAATCTCGTCAAGATGTTTAATCGAGGAAGTTCAATATCGGCTGATAGAAATTCTAAGTTTGGTAATATAGTATACTCCAAGGCGTGTAGGTCTTTTGGATCACAAATATCCTCAATATATCCGATTTTCAATCTCTTCAAATTGACAAATGAAGAGAAGAATTCAATTGGAATACATTTACCTTCAAATATTTCCAATTCAAGGAGTGAAGTTGATTGATATTTTGATAAAGCTTTCCCAAACTCATGCAAATTATCATATGCTTCACAACGTAAAGATTTTAAAGAACTTTGTAATGCGATCAATGAGGTTAGTCCTAAATTATCGGCTCCACAAATAACATCCAACTTCTCGATATTTCGACAATGCCTTGCCAGTCCATAGTAGAATAGAGCGTCATCACAGTCGCATTGCAATTCTACTAATTGTGATAATGAATCGTCAGCCCAAAGGCAATTTGATAACGGATAAGGTGCTTCAATTCCCAACATAATTATCTTTTTAATTGAACGACTTTTTAATAATATCATCTTTAAAATTTCTTGATTGACGAGAACTTTATGATCCTCATTTGAAAATTGATGGCCAATAATTGTACTTAATTTTTTAAGGTCAAGACTTCTACTATACTTTGGGTATTGAAATAAAGCTTCACTAAAAAAACCATGTTTTGATAAATCGAATGGATGAATATTACATTCGTAAAAAAATCGTTTGATGTCTTTTTCTAAGCATGAAAATAATGACATAAATAATGCGATCGATACTTTTCGTTTGCTGTAAGGTATGTTCACCTTCCAGGGATTCCTCCATAGAAAAGGGACGCTAGTTTCGCACCACATCCTATTAATTAAAACACACGAATGTACAGTTTTAGTATCATCCTCTACATATTTTAAGATTTCGTGAACACAGTCTGCTGAAAGGATAGGCATGTTTTTATAAATTTTTTGAGGAAAATGAAGAATGAAAAAGTGAAGTATTGTAGAGAGAGAGAGAGGAAAAAAATGCAATTTATGGGAAGAATAAAACGCCAATATTTTTTATTTGGTTTTTTTTTTATGTAACCTCATCAATTCTGTCGCACCAATCATTTTATAATTTTTGTGTAACAAACTCACCATAAATGAGGCTTTTTCATTATACGAAGGTTAGTTTATTTATATAGGGAGGGGGGTCTTGGATAAAAGCGTCATTGAAAAGATCCTCAACAATAAAATGAACAATTGGATGGATTTTCATTGATGTAAATCAGGGAACGATGACTATGTAACCTGCTTGAGGCAGTGATTTTTACTTTTTTTCGCCTAATTGGATTTTTTTTTGAAAATTAATAGTTAAAAAAACGGATTTTTTTTTTATGAATTTTTTGCCATTGTAAGAGTTAAATTAATTTTATTATAGTTTATACATCAAAATAAGCTTTTATTTTATACAAGATATTATAAAATTTATTAAATTTTTTTTTATGATTAAATAATTCATTTCTCGTAAATTCATTTTACTGCTCTTACCACAGATAACTTTACATTCAACTATACTTCTATTCTACATCTATTTATGCAAGTATTATCCCTAAATCATTCATGGTTTTGAACGCATTTTAAATGTTAGATTGGTTTTGGACATTCCAAAACCTGTCCGAAACAATTGCCCAAAACTGCAGAGGATTTTCGTATAAATTTGGTCATAATCTTCAATTGCAAATTATTTAATTTTTTAGTCCGTAGCGTAGTATAAACGGTGACACACGATCAGCCCGCTTAAAAATTGAGTCAATACATGATTGGTCCTTTCGTTACACTTGCGCTCCGGACTCCGGATTCCGAATTGTTCACTGGTTGTTACACAAACAAATATTTTATATATTGACACGAAAAAATTTTTTTTAAAAAATTAGTTATTAATTAGATTGGATTTTTATTAAATACTATAAATCAATTAACTTAATTAATTTTAAAGTTTTTTTTAAATTTAAGGAAAATTATTAAAAGAATTTTTTATATTAATAATCTATTATATAATTAAATTATATAGGAGCTTTGTAATAGAAAGGAAAGAACTCTAAAAATATTTTTTTGAGTTAATGTTAAATCTGAACTTATTTTACTAAAAAAATCATAATTAGCTTATAAAATAAAATTTTAATTTTTTTAGAGTTTCCTCCCTTTCTATTGCAAAGCTCCCATATATTAATTATTTTTAATAGTATTAATATTAACTTATTAATATCAAATGTAAAAATCATAAAAAAAAATATTATAATTATTTATAATTTAACAATTTATATTTAATAAATTAATAGTATAATTAAATTAAAATATTATATTGAAAGCTTGTTAGAAAAATGTGACTCTAAGCATTTTTTGTTAAAATTTTAATTTTTAATCTAATATTATTAAAGCTCTGAATTAGATCAGTTCAACCTGTGATCT